ATGTTTTTTTTTTTTTTTTTTCCCTTAACTCTATGTTATTAGACTGAAAGGGACCTTTCACTTACTAATTGAAAAACACTTTCTTCCTCTTAAGATGAGCCCAGAAAACCATCTTACATTCTTTGTTATATGTGATCATAGTGAATGTTGGCAAATGTCTTTTGGCTTGTATTCCCATGGAAAATGTGGTCATTTTTGAGTTCTACTTTGTACAATTAAAAACACAGATGAAAATGCATAAATGTAAACTTTTGTCAGATTTAATTACAGTATGCTTAGAATGACATGCTATGTCTAAGATATTGCTTGTTGGAGCCTTGCCTTCATGTCACTGTAGTACAACCCTATGATTTCTGCCATGTGGAAAACTCAATCCAGTCAAAAATAATATGGAATGTCATGGAATCTGACAAATTTTGGTTGAATACATCAAACAGGGTTGTACACTTCGAATCACAATATGAACTAGTGTTTGTCAATATTAAGCTGCCAGATTACTGCTATTCAAAGATTAATAATTTTTTTTAAGTTTTATGCATTCATTTGATTACCATTTTTATAATACATTTTTTATTACATTTTGTTAAAACACAGAATCCAGAAGGGAAAAAAAAACGTATTACATTGGGCCCAGTTTGGTTAGAAGAATTGAAATAATGAAAAGAAAAAAAAAAAAATTGGGAAAAGTAAAACAGATCTCCTAGGGCCCTACCATATCTTGAAAATGCTGTATAACCATAATAGAATTGTCAGATATCTATGACAAGAAAGATTAACATTTATTTTAGAGAACTGGTTTTCAGTGAGCAATTGGCTTCCAAATATTCACTTCACGGGTCCTTAAAAAGTCTTAAGCCTTAAGTTTAGTCCATAAGGCCATAAAAAGCCTTAAATGGTAGCCTACTGTACATCATGTCTTAATTAGGAGATGGAAAGACCAGATTTGCGATATAGCTTAATGTGATGATTAAACTTAAAAATCTATGATTTCATTGAATAAATATAAGTGCCGCATGTCAGGTGTTGCACTGCTTTGTTTACAGCCATTACCGGGGAAACCGCTGTATTTCTGCTGTTGCAAAAGCGCCACCTGCTGGCAGAGAATGAATGTGCATTTTCAATAAGCCCTTCTGCTGTTTTTGTTCAGAACCAATGCGAAAATCAAGAGATGGTCCTCACTGCAGAACACAAGATTCAGGGGGTGTGGTTGGATCCAGATCCAGCTCCTCCCACCTTATGGCACTTTTCCACTGCATGGTACGGCACGGTACGGCTCGGTACGGTTCAGTACGGTACGGCACGGCTCGGCTCGGTTTGCGTTTCCACTGCAGTTCAGTACTGCTTTAGAGTGGGCGGGATTATTCACATGTCGTTTTGGTTGCGCCGCCTCTACTGCCGTGACATCATCGTAAACGCGCCACAAACAAACACACAACAATGGAGCATATCGATGGAATGGTGTTCTTCATTCTCGGCATGTGGATGTTTTTAACTGCAAGACGAAGGAGTTTGTTTCAAAAGAGGCTGATGGCAGCCAAATGAAACACAGCTTAAAAATACAATACAACAACACTTGGTTTGCTCGACGGCGCGCAAGGGTAAGCATCTAAAAGCACATCACTAGCTAACTTTTATCTCGGTCGCAAAGCAAATAATGAACTTAACTGCCAGTATAACATATTAAAATGCGTATTCTGTGTATTACAGAGCTTCCCCATTTCGCAAAAAAGTCGAAACTTTTGTATCATTATGGCATTAATCATTTGTCTTTATCAAGAGGTACATTACCTGCTCATAAAATATGAAATATTTAATATAGTAAGGAGGTACACTTATTTGATCATAGTTTTTATTGAAGCAAAACAAAGAAAGGTAAAAATATAAACAGAAAACCTACTCTAAAAATATACAAAAAGTATATACATAAGACAAAGATAAAGTTTAAATTACAATATAAAAAGCTAATTTTAAACAATGTGCCAGTGTACCTTGTGCAAGAACTGTAAACAATTGTCTGATATACATGAAAAAAATTTAAGTGAAAATGTAAGCAGCAAACTTTAAACAATGTGCAAATGTATGTAGTGCAAAACCGATATACGTACAAAAGACAAATACAACAAAAATAAATTTAAACGTCAAAGTACAAAAAAAAGGTGCAAAAACACAATAAATGCCTATGGCATTATTTGGCCAGACAGTTCTGTTCCCTTCGGCCACTCATTGCCTGGACAAGCATCCCCATAACGTTGAGGAATGCTTGATTGAAAGCAGCCGTTTGAGAGTGTTCCTCTGCCCTCAAGGCCGCTTCCTGCTCCCTCGCTTGTCTGGCCTCTTCAAGTGCCATCTGCAAGTGGTGCTCCCTCTGGGCACGGTTCAGCTCCTGTTGCTGAATGTCTGCCACCTGCATTTCTCTTAACACCGCAAGATGTTCCTGATGGTGCAGGCTCCGTTTCCACTTGCCTGGTCCAAAATGAAGAAAATAGTCAGAAATGGGAGGTTTTTCTTTACTGTGGATTTGTATACATTCATTTATGAAATAACTGTACAGTAACATCCTTAAATTATCTAACATCACATTTACAGTAGCTACCAATAATGCATTTATGGTAAGCAACAGGAATTCATGACAAGGCATATAACGATATATATCCTATATGTACATATTATGACATATGAAATACATCAAATTTGTTTTATACCTGTGACCACACGCTGCGGTGTCGTCGTGCAGCTGGAGGTTGATGGTGATGGTGTTGGCGGTCGTGGTGGAGACGCTGCTATCACTGGCTGGGAAGAGTCGTCGTCGTTGCATGGAGAAAGTGCAAGTGAATCGATCGTGGACAATGAGTCTGAAACGCAAAGTTTGTACAATCAGTTGGGAATGCACAAATTACTGCAACACAAAGTAAAACAGCAACAACAACTCCAGAACATCATGAACAATAGCACTACCGCTAACTGTTAGCTACTAGGACTTTGTGCTTCATTGCCATGATTTTACAGTGAAAATAAAAAAATAAAATAGGAATCGACGGTCAATAAAGTCAGTACAGTTAAGCTTTCAAGCGTTAGATTTTAGTTAACATAACACAACGTACCATCCTCGATCGTGTTCTCCAACAACGGCGTGGCCGAGTCCAGGGCACCCTCCCTCCCAATGCTCGTTGGTCTACCTCCGTAGATTGCGTCCATTTGGTCGAACCACTTCCACGATCGTCTGTTTGAACCACTCCGGCTGTTGTGGTCCTTTATGCTTCTGTAGTCGCTCTTCAGTTTTTTTTAACTTATCCCTATATTGTTTGTTGGTCCGGTGGTAGCCGTGTGCGGCCAAGAGCTGAGCGACCTCCTGAAAAACTTTTTCATTCCGCGTCGCCCCATCAAGCTCTTGCTGGATCCGCTCCTCGGCTATCAATGAGAGGAACGTCTATACTTCCTCAACAGACAACAAAAAAGCCATTTTTTTGGATGTTACAAAAAAGAGCGTTTGTTCAAACAAAAGTTGCGTTCGATCTTTCGCTGGCTGTGCTGATTTAAATCTAGCGGGTCTGTTTGTGTCTCATGTCGCAAGTTCAATGACGCAGTAGTGACGATTCTCTCCGGCCAATCAGTGACCAGCAGAGTTTACACGTCACGTTTTGGTAACGGTACGGTTCGCTTGGAACCCCAACCGAGGTGGTACTAAAAAAAGTACCAGGTACCAGGTACTGTACCTAGTGGAAAACCCCCTAAAAGTGAACCGTACCGAGCCGTACCGTGCCGTACCATGCAGTGGAAAAGCGGCTTTACATATACCTAAACCTACCCGTCTCTACCCCCTGAGCCCTAAGCCCACCCATCTCCACCCCTAAACCTACCAATCTCCACACCCTAGATGTGGATCCAACCACGCCCCCTGGATCTTGTGTTCTGCAGTGAGGGGCTACTGAAAATCAACCCACGTTTTTACCCTGCAAACACGCAGAGTTGTAAGTGTGAACTGGTGGATTGAAAAGAAGATTCTAACTGCATTATAAAAATCTAAACAATTAAGACAGTAACATTGTAATTAATATAATAATTGATTGATAATAATTGTTTAAATTAATATAATAATTGATACTTTTGACTCTATTTTCATAAAAATGGTTTAAAGGCTGAAGTGTGAAGTTTATAATTTTATAAAACATTTTGCTTTTGTGAAAACCCGTATCTGAACTGTAAATCATGAGTTTACAGTGATTTTACAGTTTAATATGTGACCATAGACACTGCCCTACTGTACTCATATGGTACTAATTTTATTTGTGCAGGTCTTAAAAAAGGTCTTAAAATGTCTTATGTTTAGCATGTTACATTTGAGCTTAAAAATCCTGCAGATACCCTGGACTACAGTGTAAAATAGAATGTTATTGATTTTTATACAGCCTAAAATAGACCAATTCAATATTAATTAAAAATGAAGATTTTACTTAAACATGTTTATGCAATTGAACAGGGGATGAAAGGTGAAAAAGGAGACTCTGGGCGACCTGGTGTTCATGTAAGTTACATAAATGTGTGTGTGTGTGTGTGTGTGTGTGTGTTATAAATATGCAATTGAACAGGGGATGAAAGGTGAAAAAGGAGACTCTGGGCGACCTGGTGTTCATGTAAGTTACATAAATGTGCTTGTGTGTGTGTGTGTGTGTGTGTGTGTGTGTGTTATAAATAAAACCTACAGTACATTAAATTCTGCGCAATCAAATAAATAAACTCTTTAATAATAAGGTTATTAAGAATATTAAATAGCATTCATTTTTGTATCTGAAATTATGGAATCAACCACAAGGTGGTGCAGTTCTTCTTAATAGTAACAGAGTGCAAGGCAACGTTTGATATATAAATGTATACGTTTTTGTAATATATATATATATATATATATATATACACACACACAAAAAAAAAACTTATAAAAGTTAAAATATCAAAACAGTTCCAGTAAAACAGTTACATATGTGTGCAGTATGTTTTAGGTGATAAACTACAGTACAGAGGTCCCAAGGCCACACTTGGTTAGATGTATATAATATGCCAGCATTATTTTACTCAGGTATATGGAACTACAGTAACTATACAAGATGCTATACACTTTTTGTGTATATACTACAAAAACTATTGTATTTAGATTTTTTCCCTCCTAGGATCACTGAATAAAAGTCCATTTAAAATACTTGTTAATATGGACTGAACAATTAAAATACAAATATATACAAAATGTTTACTTTTCTTTGCATCACGGTGGCTATCTAGTGCATCTGCAGCATTTTACAGATGTCTGAAGTGTTTAATTCTAAGAAGAATTAGCATAATATTTTGGCAAATCAACCAGTTGCCTTGTAAACGGTATTGTTGTTTCATTGATATGAGATGTGACTTCTCTCTTCATAAACAGGGTTTACCTGGGCAAGCTGGGCAGAAAGGAGAGGTGGGCACATCACTGATCTGAATGTACGTTCACCATTAGCTGTACTGTGAGTGTGTTGAGTTATGTTTGTGTGCATGTCAGAAAGGGACAGCAGGAGAGCCTGGTCAGAGGGGTCAGTTCGGCCATCAGGGGCTCCCTGGACAGCAAGGACAGACAGGACCCTCAGGGCCCAGAGGACAGAGCGGAGAAATAGGCCCCCCAGGACAACCTGGACCTGAAGGCCGACCTGTGAGTATTGTGTTTCCAAATAACTATATGAGCTTAACAATTTTTAACACTGTGTTGTACTGTAGCCTTCTTCTCCAATAAGATAATCTAGTCAGTGGTGGATAAAATGTTGCATACACAGTTAAATAGAAACTTTTGTTCCAATGATGGCATGCATTTTTGCAGGGCAGAGAGCTGTCTGAGCAACATATTCAGCAGATTTGCAGAGATGTCCTTCGATGTGAGTACCCAAAATGATCTCCCAGTAGTGCACTATAGCATTTTTAATAAATTATATAAATATACATATACATATACAAGTGAATCAAAAAACATGTCCAGCTCAAATTTCACGGCAAAAATAAAAAATTAAAATAAAAAATAAACCCTAAATAGTATATAACTAAATAACTATAAAAAATTAAATTAAGCTTTTTATTAAGCTTTTTTTTAACTAATCTTTTTTTGTTCGTTTCTTTTGCGTTATTTTCCTGAAATTTAGACACATTTTAATTTTTGTTCAGTATGATACTCATCTTTTCAGTGTTCAAGACACTGAAAACAGTGAGTCTACATAAATATTGATATTAAATTAATAATTTTTTGTAAAATTTTGAATCCATGGATAGTCCTAATATATATACAAACATACTGTATACACACACTTATAAACATATACATGTATACATTATACAGCATAAATGAGTACACCCCCTCTGAATATTAAGATAAATGTAATAAACATACTTAATAAACACACACACACACACACATACACACACACACACACACACCAATATCTGTAAAATAAGTAAGTTTTGCTTAAATGAAGGGTTGCAAGAAGTAGCAATATTCTATTATGCAGTGTGTCCTCTATTTTATGTATACTGCTCTAACCCTTCATTTAGTATACAAGTTCATGACAAATTGTCACATCTCTCCTGTTAAACATCTGGAGTTCAGTCTCCTTGAGTGCCCTGAGCGCTGCTTAACTTGTCTCTACAAAATTCCCCACATGGGATTAATAGTGTTAAAATCAGGTGAAATACTTGGAGAATACAGTCTTTGTCATACTGGGAGAACGTGCCTAACAATTGACCTATCGGTAAGCCCCTCCCCTCGAACGCAGATGAGCCAATTGCAGTTGACTATCAGCTGCACGGGGACCGGAACTCGGACATCTTTAGATTTCAGCACCATAGAGAAACACTGGAAGATCCGAAGCTCTCATCAGTTTGATGGTGTTTATGCTACAAAAGTGGCAAAACTATGTGCCTGGGGCAGGGGTTTTCATACTGGGGTCCGCGGACCCTTGGAGGTTCATGACGCAAAGCCAGGGGGTCCGCAAAATAGTAATATTCGGACACTAGAGAAGTGCAAAGCCTTCTTTACATAATAAGTAGCCTAATAGAGCCCACTATGTGATTATGTTTCACTTTTAGTAAGTAAGTTTAGTTTGTTATGGACATAGCCATAGTCGCCGATTTATTTTTCTGTTGGTGGGTGCAAAAAACGAGCATTTTTTTTTAATAAATAATTTTCACCAGTTTCTACTAGTAAATGATAACCGGGCTAGGTTATCATACACATGCGCAACAAATGCTTAACATATTTAAAAATTCTCATTACTCAGTAATTAATTATACTGGGTGTTAGTTTCAAAGCCTTCTTTACATAATAAGTAGCCTAATAGAGCCCACTATGTGATTATGTTTCACTTTTAGTAAGTAAGTTTAGTTTGTTATGGACATAGCCATAGTCGCCGATTTATTTTTCTGTTGGTGGGTGCAAAAAACGAGCATTTTTTTTTAATAAATAATTTTCACCAGTTTCTACTAGTAAATGATAACCGGGCTAGGTTATCATACATGCGCAACAAATGCTTAACATATTTTAAAATTCTCATTACTCAGTAATTAATTATACTGGGTGTTAGTTTTTTTTCTAGAGTAGTCTATACACAGGGCAAAATTTTGAGGATGCACACTTAATATCTGAAGGAGTGCAGAGCCATGATCACTATATGGGAGATCAAGCCCGCTGCAAGAGAGATTTGTGCTGGCGCCCTCTCGTATTACAATAATGCACTCTCGACATTTGCCATTAAAATAACGCCAAAAACTGCCTCAAATGAACTATAAATGCGAGAATAAAGTCGTAAAAGCTGCAATCCATTTCATATTGGTTAAAATGAAAGGAGACTATCTCTTGATTTTCCATGGGTGCTCGAGCCCCTGAGCACCCATGGGATCTGCGCCTATGGACATAGCATTTAAAATAAATGTTGTTTGAAATGAACGGCACTATAATTATTATTTTTTATACATATATATGCATTTATTTTTGTTCTGTTATGAATGCCACTAAATTTAAACAATTTGGAGTGAGGCGAAGTCAAATTAATGTTAGTGTTTATAATGTTTTTTTCCTAACATTTGTTTTACTTAGACCTATTCAATATTTAAATTATTTCTGAAAGTAATAGTAAAATGCGACTTACACACCGATGCAACTTATGTTTTGTTTTGTTTTTTTCCCCCCTGACATGGTGCAACTTTCTGGAAAATATGGTAAATTTAATTATATTATGCTGTAGTATTAAAAAGTGCATATGCAATGGGGACCATTTGCACCAATAAAACAATCATATTATGTTCTTTCCTCCTACCCACATTAAACTTTAGCCTTAAACACTGTTATAATTATGAGGGGGTCCTTGGCTCCAAAAAGTTTGAAAAACCTTGACCTGGGGTACTTGTAACACTGATTACAGGTATCCTGAGAGGATGGGCAATATCATTTATTTTATTCTATTTCCTAAACCCAAATAAGACAGAGCAAAATGTACCAAAGCATTCAACCCCAATCCCAATGAAGACGAAAACGTTCATTTTCTGGTTGTCATACTCTCATTAAGTTAAAATTTTCATCTGCTCAAGCGGAACGTTAATGTCATCTTGTGCTGCAAGGTATCTCTGGCTAAAACTAGCCAACGTTAAAGTTAGTGAGTTCATGCTAACATACAAAGCTAAATTGCTAACTGTTCTCACATCATGTACAGTGTAGGTCATAAAAACATAAACAAAGGTCTACATTTCACGACCATAATGAGGCTTGTCGGCAGGAATTGTCGGTGGGGGGAGTGAATAACCAGCACTCTCTTCCACCCTCAATACCACGACTGAGGTGAGACCCTTGAGCAAGGCACCAAAGCCCCAACTGCTCCCCGGGCACCACAGCACATGGCTGCCCACTGCTCCAGGTGTGTGTTCATGGTGTGTGTGTGTTCACTACTGTGTGTGTGAACTTGGATGGGTTAAATGCAGAGCACAAATTCCGAGTATGGGTCACCATACTTGGCCACGCGTCTTTTTTTTCTCCCCTTGCATTGTTATCTGTAAACCCTCGCTTCCAAATTTATCTTGTTACCCACCATATTTATTTTAAAATCTTTTATATATCCCTCCATGCCATATTTAAGTCCCACTTGAATGGTGGTCCTTCTGTGTCCAAAATTTATGAAAAACCTCTTGGGACAAGGTGGGGCGGGGATACGATTGGTCAATAGTGCCGGGAATGAGGAGAGGGTGGCATCTTCTCTCAAGTCCATGCAAATTGATTGACTTGGTGTCATGAAACTGGACTTCCCAGTAGTCTATATTTTTTTGTAAATATGGGCTCTGGAAATAGCCAAATGAGTTTACTGTGCTTTGGCTACTGTAGGTACTTCCTGTGTGGATAAACAACTAGGATAGTATATATGATAGTCAGAGATATTAATAGTAATTAATAGTAGGGCTTATTTGTTTAATCATATTTCTTTTTCCGTGTTTTTACAGTGTTGTATGTTATAACCAATCACACATGATTCTGTTGAGTTTATGAATACAAAGGCCAATCAGAAGCGTTCAGATGAGTCATCGCTGAAACACCAGAGTTTTGTTGTTCAGTGCGTGCACTCGCTGACTGATTTCTGCTCTCTCGCGAATTCTTTCATCATAAACAACAAAGTGCAGATGTATGTGCATTGTAAGTATAAGAGATGTATTCATCATACAGTGTAGACAGCTTCACTGATTATAATGGGAGTGTTTTTTAAAGTGCATAAACTCATGCTAGACTGAAGTCAATGATGACGTTCTTTGATAATTTAAATGCTCGTTTTCTGTAGCTGCTGTTTGAATAACTGAGGAAATGTGAGCATTATAATTAGTAAATTAACCAACACACCAAATCCAACACACAGACTGGAGAGTGTTTGCTGCACATGCCACCACACTCTCAGTTTGGTCAACGAAAATGAAGAGACATTTTAGCATAGTTTTTATTTTGTAAACCACATTTAGTCTCGTTTTTATTCGTCAACAATATTGCATTATACATTTAATTATAGTCATCGTCACATGACCAGCATTTACGTTGCGTCTCGTCTCGTTTTCGTCACGTGATAAAGGTTCGTTGACGACGATATTTAGTCATAATTTTCGTTGACGAAAACAACACTAAGAGTAACACTGATTCCTACACCAACTCTGTCTTAGATCACATCAACAAGTGTGTTGACAGTGGCATCACAAAAAAAATTCCAAGGTTTGCAAGAGATGCAGCTTTCAGGTCTGGAGACCAGGAAGCTTACAGCTCAGCCAGGGTCAACCTGAGGAAATGTGAGCATTATAATTAGTAAACAACGTTTCTAATAAATTATCATGTTAAATGCAAATTCAGTCATATAAAAAATATTTTATGACGACATCTATATGCTACTTGACTAAAAATATATTATGTGTAGTTTATAGATTACATTAGGCTGCTTTTAGCCTTACCATGGAGTTGGATCATTCTCTGGCTATGAATCTAAGTAAATAATTAAATAAATTAGCATGGTAATATTATGTATTGGCAATATGACGATATGACTATGGAGCATATCGCCCAACACTATAAACTACCATGAATTTCACTTCTGCAGATTGTGTCTTAGACTGTGTGAGATGAAACAGTAACTCCTCTCATAGCTTTTGCCAGCTCTAGGACACTTGGTTGGCATTTTTCTGCTCTTTTCTTACCAAGAATCACTCATTACAAAATGAAACCATAAAGTGAAGGCCTGGTTATTTCACAGATGTCACAATTCCATTCTTTTTAAATTTATGCACCACTGTAGCTACTATGTTCACACTTCTTTAGCTGAAGAACAAGCTTGAACTGAACACTTGGATCTTCACACAGGGTAGGCTTGCACACTAACTTTTTATGAAAACATGGCTGAACAGTGACACTCCAAACAGAGCGACAGAACTGGATGAGTGCATGGTTTTCAGGGCTGACAGAACTGCAGCAGCAACAGGTTAAAGCAGGGGAGGTGGTGTATGCATGTATGTGAATAAATCATGGTGTTCTGACTCTACCTTCTGTTTATTAAGTGCAGACCCTTTTACCTACCACTTGAGTTTACATGCATCATTGTTGCTGTGATTTATGTCCCACCAGATACAGATGCTAAACTAGCCATGAAAGACCTAATTGCGTCTATCAGTAGACTGCAGGCATTACATCCAGACTGGGCTTATTGTTGCTGGGGACTTCTTGCCACCTATGTAGTATGCTTCCTAGATGCCATATTTTATGTCCTCATGCTTAACAAGAGGACATACATTTTGAACATAAAATGATGCTCTTCAAGCATAGACCAGTCGTCAATGAGAAACATCAAGATCTGGTCAGAGTGTGCTGATTCTGTTCCTTAGCACCAAATCCAACACACAGACTGGAGAGTGTTTGCTGCACATGCCACCACACTCTCAGAGTAACACTGATTCCTACACCAACTCTGTCTTAGATCACATCAACAAGTGTGTTGACAGTGGCATCACTAAAAAAAATTCCAAGGTTTGCAAGAGATGCAGCTTTCAGGTCTGGAGACCAGGAAGCTTACAGCTCAGCCAGGGTCAACCTCAGGAGGGCATCATCATAAATATGCTTACAAACAGTAGATTGAGGAGCACTTAATCACCTCAACCCCCAACGTATGTGGAAAGGCATACAGACTATTGCAGTTTTCAAGACACCCAGTTCTTTGCCTTCATCCAGCTCTGCCTCCCTTCCTCATGAGTTTACCAATTTAATGCTTGCTTCAACCCAGGTTACAAGGATATAACATCTAAAGATTCTCTACCTGGTGAACTGCACCTCTCACTCTTCTCCACTGAGGTTTATAATACCTTCAGCACAGTGGATTTAAGGAAAGCAGCTGGCTTGGATGGAATACCAGGGTGTGTGCTCAGAGTCTGTGCAGGTCAGCTGGCTGGGGTCTTCATGGATAATTTCAATCTGCCGCTGGCACAGGAACTTGTCCTTGTTTGGCCTTGAATGACTTCCACCCAGTTGCACTCATCCCTATCATTGCGAAGTACCTAGAGAGACTGATCTTACCACATCTGTTACAACAGATCCAACTCATGTCAGAATGTTGTTTGTTTGTTCAGTTCAGCGTTCAGTACTGTGATCCCCTCAATTCTGGTCTCCAAGCTAAACCAATTATGGATTAGCACATCACTATGCAACTGGATGTTAGACTTTTTGACTAACAAACCCCAGTCTGTTAATTTGGATAACCTCACCATGTGCGCTGGTTTGCCGCTAGGCTGTGTGATAAGCCCTCTTTTATACACTCTCTTAACTCATGACTGTGTCTCTGTACATGGTTTTAAGGGTAGGGACACACCAAACCGATGCCAAAGAACTAGTGCTGAGAGAAGCCAACTGTGGCATTTCCTCACATCACCTGCATCGGGGCAAAAAAAGTTACACTAGAACACACTGAGCAGACTATAGCTGACATAACTAATGTGTATGCCAGGGGCTCTGAACTCTGGCCCTCGAGGTTCACTTTCCTGCAGAGTTTAGCTCCAACCTTGATCAAACTCGCCTACCAGCAACTTTCTAGTAATCCTGAACACCTTGATTAGCTTGTTCAAGTGTGTTTGATTAGGGTTGGTGCTAAATTCTGCAGGAAAGTGGACCTCGAGGGATGACAAGACGGCTTACAGGGATGAAGTCCAGCACCTGACTGTGTGGTATGCTGACAACAGCCTGGTCCTCAACACACAGAAGACCAAGGAGATCATTGTGGAATTCAGACAAACTAAGGGTCATGCATATAGCCCTATTAACATCAACAGAGTCATAGTGACTCAAGCTTCGAGTTTCCGGGTGTTCACATCTATGACGATCACATCTGGTCCCTGAACTTCCCATTATTCTTAAAAAAAAGCAGAGCAGCATCATTATTCCCTCAAATCCTTAAGAAAGCTTATCTTTATGCCAATATACTGTTTGATTTTGACCGCTGTACCATCAAGTGCATACTTATCAACTGCATCTCAATGTGGAATGACAATTGTTTAGTATCGGACCATAAGGCACTCCAGTGGGTAATGAAAACTGCCCAGAAGATCACTGCTATTTAATTGCCAACAATCAAGGATATTTACAGGAATTGTTTCTTTGGAAGGGAGAATGGCATCATCAAAGGTGCATCCCGTCTCAAACATGATCTGTTCATTCTCCTTCCATCTGGCAAGTACTATAGGAGCCTGTGGTCCCGCACCAGCTGGCTCAGGAAGAGTTTCTCCCCTGAGGCTGTGACCCTGTTAAACTCTTTGCCCTGAGACATTATTACTACTTACCACTGTACTGTCTCAGCATTTTTTTTTTTTTTTTGCATTAGCTGGACATCATAGTATTCATAGTATTTATTTATATTGTACATTCATCCAGCTGGACATGCACTGTTTATATTGTCCAGTTATCCAGTTAATGGTCCATGGTGACTTTAAGTCCAGGGTTTCCATGGGTCCTTAAAAAGTCTTACATTTAGTTGTAACACATTTATGGCCATAAAAAGTCTTAAATAGTACAAGAAAGTCTTAATTTTGATTTCAAGAAGTCTTATATGTGGGCATGGAAAGACAAGAGTTGTAATATGGCTTAATGTGAAAATTAAACCTCAGAAAGCTGTGATTTCATGTGTGCTCATGAGTGCTGCACATTTCAAAGTCAGGTGTTGTGTTGCTTTGTGTCCAGCTGTTACGGAGGAAACCACTATATTTATGCCATTTCAAAAGCGCCACCTGCTGGCAGAGAATGAATGTGCAGTTTAAATAAGCCCTTCTGCTGTTTTTGTTCAGACCAATGTGAAAATCAACCCATGTTTTTACACAGTAAACATGCAGAGTTGTAAGTGTGAACTGGTGGATCGACAAGAAGATAATGCATTCTAAAAATCTAAACAATTAAGACAGTAAAATATGTTTATATGTTATTTAATTAATATAATAATTGATTGATAGCAATTGTGTACATTAATATAATAATTTATACTTTTGACTCATTCATTTTATTAAAAATGGTTTAAAGGCTGAAATGTGAAATTTAGCATTTAAAAAAAAAATAGTTTTTGATAAAACCTGTATCTGAACTGTAAACAATGCTTTTTACAGTCATTTTACAGTTTAATATGTTACCATAGATGTTGCCCTGCTGCGCTCATGTGGTATTAATTTTATTTGTGCAGGTCTTGAGCTTAAAAATTCTGCAGATACCCTGAAGTCAGAGAATGATTTAATGGGCTATGTAACACTTTTAATTGTCTAAAAAAAAATAAATACCCCTATTTGAATGTTTTTGTTCAACATACCTGTTGATTGACTTTAACTTGTGTAGAAAACCTTTTAATTAGTTTTGTTGTTTTCCAGCGGGTGTACTCATTTTTGCAACACAACATTTTATCACTTTAATTGGAAAACCTTATTTCCCTGATTAATATTGATTTATTTATTTTTTTTATTGGTCAACCAGAGTTGCTGGAACATAATATATTCAAAGAAACTACAAAATGTCTTCTATGTAAAGAGAAATTACTGAATTGATTAAATATTAGAGGGGGTTTACTCATTTATGCTGTGTACTGAATGTAAAATATACAATGAGTTCGAAATTAACACCTGCCAACCCAGTAAATGCGGGTGAAAATTAACCGCGGCGTGTAAAACTCACCAACCAATTTGCCCAGTTGTGATTCATAAATTATGTCCTCCAACCAGAAGCCTCCAATATTAGCAACACAAAGATCAAACAATGATTGTTTATAGTAAAACTGAAAGCCATTCAATCTTTCAGAAGCAGAATAATAAATACAATTTAAATAAATACAGTATATTTGAATCTAAGCTGTGATCTTTATAATCTGGTTTATTTCTGATATTTTTATTTTGGGTAGTAGAAGTTCTCAGTAGCCAATAAGTTTATAGCTAAATTCAGAAGACAAATGCTGGTGAGTAAAAAAAAAAAAAAAAAAGTAAATTTCAACCCAAAATGTACATATTCATTAGAAATAAAGACTTCTGAGCCAGAGTCCTGCCTGTATTTTATTATGTTTTTGGGTTACAGCTGAGATTCCTGCTCTTCTATTGAGTAGCCAACACAATCATCACAGAAGCTGTGAAAACTGCTACACACAGGTGGGACCCCCAGGGTCTCCAGGGCCACCAGGTCCTCATGGCTCTCAAGGATTCCCGGGTTTATCTGGTTCTAATGGGCTGCAAGGTCCGCGGGGTTTACCTGGGCGGCCTGGCGGCCCTGGCATGAAAGGTACAGGCATGCTACACACATCACACCATGTCTATAGTGCTGTACATTGTCTCAGAAAGTTCACAGAAATTCATTGTTTTACAAATTTGTTTGTCAATGTAACAATTGTTCCCTGAGAAGGGGAATGAGACACAGTGTCCTCTAGTTTTCAGTCATGGTCCTGGGGACTCACTGCTCTGCACATTTTGTGTCTCCCCCTTATATAACCAGTGTTGGGCAAGTTACTCTGAAAATGTAATCAAATTACTGATTACTGATTACTCCTTTTAAAAGTAATCACGTTACTGTTCTGATTACTTTATTTCAAAAGTAATTAGTAATTAGTTACATTACTAGTTACGTTACTTTTTTCTCCATGAAATTTATGAAATCCCAGCATACACGCTCCCGATAAATATTTGTTATTCCTGATACATATTTGTTATTAAAGCATCAACATTCAGAACAGTGTTATTTTTAACTAAAGCAAGCGGCTGCTGCGTGCATGGTTTGGCATGGCAGAATGCCAGCAAAGAGCGCTGTATTTATAATCTCTAAAAGACAGCTCAGTTCATCGCACTCTCACAAATCTCTGTTATAACACAATAAATAGGCTATATGCATAAGGAATCTTTCATAATGTCTACAATTCGTGTGTTATAATGAGAGGATTCGTGAGCACGCAAATTTCAGCACTGCATTGCTCAACGCTGCAAACACGTGTTATAGCCTAAATAGAAACTCTGCATACGCTTGCACCTGTTAATCGTTTATATTTTATATTAGTTCATGTTGCTTGTGTGCAATAGATGAATAACAATTTATTTGTTTTAGATATTTTATGTTTAGATATTTCTATTTTGCGGGAGTCCCGTCAATCATTTTATTCTCTCGCATCCCGCACACCCACAAGTGTCTACCCACCCGCACCAGCACTCGCCCATCTTGTCCCGCGCCGTACTCTGTTGCGTCGGGTCTCGCGGGAGCGGGTCTGTAATCCACTGGCACTTGACTCGACAGTGCATGAGCTACGTTGCGTCGGGTCTCGCGGGAGCGGGTCTGTAATCCACTGGCACTTGACTCGACAGTGCCTGTGCTACATCCTTTTTAGGTCTCTAGATTATAAAACACTGCATTCTGTCAGCAATGTAACACGGCAGTAACATATAGACACCTCAGCTTGTAACTATACTCTAATTACTATTTTGAAAATTATAACGCATTAAATTACTCCGTTACTAAAAAAGTAATCAAATTACAGTAACGCGTTACTAAGTAATGCGTTACTGCCCAACACTGTATATAACACACCTGATTCGGATAATTTAGCTTGTTAGGAAAGAGCTCCATGAACTGCACTACAGTGTGAAGGATAAAAGAGACATTCAACATGTGCAGAGCGGTGGGTCTCCAGGACCAGGATTTAAAAATGCTGGTCTAGTGGACACTATGGGGAATGAACTTGACATTAGCCGGTGACAGTCTATGACGTTACTATCAGTGCGACCGTGATTATATAAGGGTGCCTGTAGAACACGTGTAACGGCCAAAACTATGTATTTGCATGCATCACATTATAATGCGGTGTGCCCTTTAAGAGACTGATCACTTAACTTATAACGCACGCTATGTGGTGATGACGTAGAAGGACTACGTGCCTGTGTAATGAGAACCACTATGGATGATAAGTTCGCTCTGCCTTCTTGTTATTATTTTGTCTTGACTTTTATTTGTAACGCCAAGAAAGAGTTAATCTCTCATGTATGAGAGGAGTGCCTTGCCGTGTACCAGCCATTAAATGTGTGGGACACCAACTCTTCGTTTTCCATCTCTTTCATTTCATGGATTTAACGAGTTATCCGAGTCAAAGCGTTACACACGCCATCCACTTCTTGTCTGAAAAAGACGTGCACAGGAATACCTGAAGCAAGGCTACAGGACGCAGTGTCTCGTTCCCCTTCTTAGGGAACTATGGTTACATGCGTAATCTGAGATGTTCCCTTTCAAATGGGAATTCGCACTGCCTGTATCCTTAGTAATCCTGAAGACATTGATTAGCTTGTTCAGGTGTGTTTGATTAGGGTTGGAGCTAAACTCTGCAGGACAGCGGCTCTCTAGGACCGGACTTGCCTACCACTGCTCTAGTGGATACTACTAGGAACTAAATACCCACTCCACCATGCTAAAAAGATGAGTGCCTAAATGGCTGAGACTGAGGTTTCCAGGCTGCAACACAAGTTAGAATTGTGCAGAGGACTCATCTGGTTCCCGTGGTCATGTGCCGATGACCACTGAGGTGACGAGGTCTTCACATGGGATCTGTCTCTAGGGTTTGTCTAGTTGACATGGTCTCCGCTGACATTCAGGGCTGGAGAGGTCGTCTCAAGGTGCTGATCCACTATATGGACTGGATCCGGACTGGATCCGGGTGATTGCACAGACACTATTGGAAGAGAGCTGAACTGGATGATGACATCACTGAATCATCAATGAACTGACTTTAGCTGGAAAAAATATTCTTTGTTATTGTCTTCTTGCATTATTGACAAACTATTTTCCTGTTTGACACAGTAAAGCTGCTTTGACACAACCAGTATTGTATAAAGCGCTATACAAATAAAGGTGACTTGACTGCAGTGACCATCTGATCAGGATACAGACTGGATCTGGGTGTCTACGGTGACCTCGGAATAAGAATGAAACAGATTAATATTTGCATAGATGCCATTCTTCTTACGATGTAACAAGTTCTGCATGACCACATTCTTCTTCCCTAATCCTACCCAATACCTAAATTTAACAACTACCTTGCTAACTATTAATAAGCAGTAAATTAGGAGTTTATTGAGGCAAAAGTCATAGTTTATTGTTTGTTAATAGCGAGAATTGGAACTTAAAATGTGACCAAGAACTCTAGCTGCTGCATTTTGGACCATTTGGAATTTGTTTATTAAGCACCTCCATGACTTACCTCCCTATGTCCAAAACCCGAGCATAACCTATCAGAGAAAATTGCGGCATGCACCCTTCCTCCCTTCTCTGGCCTAACAACTCGGAGTTGCTACTCAAGCACAACTCTGGGGAGTGGAGGCCTAAAAAGGACAACACTCTACAACGAGAGGTGGCTTAGCAACGCTCTTTGAATTAAAGGCAGTTACCAAGGAAGCTCACAAAGTGCCTAGCAACTTAACACTACTGCCTAAACGAGCTCTAAGGACCAAGGCCTCAACACAAAGGCTCTCTAAAGCATGAGGAGGCCCACATATGCCCTACGCCAGGGGTAGGCAAGTTCGGTCCTAGAGAGCCGCAGTCCTGCAGAGTTCAGCTCCAACCATAATCAAACACACCTGAACAAGCTAATCAATGTCTTCAGGATTACTAAGGCTATAGGCAGGTGAGTTTTGTTTTCAGGGTTGGAGCTGAACTCTGCAGGACTGCGGCTCTCTAGGACCGAACTTGCCTACCCCTGCCCTACGCTAAGAATAGCATTCAAGGAGGTTCACAGAGAGTCTAACACCTTGATTTTGCTATTCAGATGGAGTTCTAGGGAGCGGGGGCCTCAAAGAGACGACTCTCAAGAGAGAGGAGGTCTAGCAGGATCCTTAGTAAGCAGGGTGGCCCCAGAGAGCCTATCAACCTGGCACAACTCTAATTAGAGCCCCAAAGACAAAGGCCTCAACAGGACGACTCTCTAAAGCCAGAGGAGACCTAACTATGTCCTAGTCAAGAATCACTATCAAGGAGGCACATATAGCACCAAACAATTTGATACTGCTGCCCAGGCAGAGCTCTGAGAAGTGGAGGCCACAGCAGGAAGACTGGAGAGGCAGCTAGCAAAGGAGGCTCTCAGAGAGCCTAACAACTTGGCACTACTGGCTGGCTGGGCTCTAAGGACGGAGGCCTCAGCATAATGACTCTCTACAGTGAGAAGTGGCCTAACTATGTCCTGTTATCAAGACAGCTTCCCAAGGAGGCTCACAGAGAGCCTAACAACTTGAAACTGCTATCTAGGCGGGATCTAACAAGTGGAGGCCTCAGCAGGAAGACTCTCTATAAAGAGAGGAAGCCTAGCAACACTCCTCTGCAGAGGCAGCTAACCAAGGAGGCTCACAGAGAGCCTAACACCAGTGGCACCAGTGTCTGAGTGGTGCTCTAGGGAGCAGAGGCCTCAGCGGGAGGACTCTCTATAGCGAAAGGAAGCCTAACAACACTCCTATGTAAAGGTAGCTAGCCAAGGAGGCTCACAGAGAGCCTAACAACTTGGCACAACTGCCTGACCGAGCTCTAAGGATGGAGGCTTCAGCATGATGACTCTCTAAAGCAAGAGGAAGCCAGAGCCCCCCTAATCCTACCCAATACCTAAATTTAACAACTACCTTGCTAACTATTAATAAGCAGTAAATTAGGAGTTTATTGAGGCAAAAGTCATAGTTTATTGTTTGTTAATAGCGAGAATTGGAACTTAAAATGTGACCAAGAACTCTAGCTGCTGCATTTTGGACCATTTGGAATTTGTTTATTAAGCACCTCCATGACTTACCTCCCTATGTCCAAAACCCGAGCATAACCTATCAGAGAAAATTGCGGCATGCACCCTTCCTCCCTTCTCTGGCCTAACAACTCGGAGTTGCTACTCAAGCACAACTCTGGGGAGTGGAGGCCTAAAAAGGACAACACTCTACAACGAGAGGTGGCTTAGCAACGCTCTTTGAATTAAAGGCAGTTACCAAGGAAGCTCACAAAGTGCCTAGCAACTTAACACTACTGCCTAAACGAGCTCTAAGGACCAAGGCCTCAACACAAAGGCTCTCTAAAGCATGAGGAGGCCCACATATGCCCTACGCCAGGGGTAGGCAAGTTCGGTCCTAGAGAGCCGCAGTCCTGCAGAGTTCAGCTCCAACCATAATCAAACACACCTGAACAAGCTAATCAATGTCTTCAGGATTACTAAGGCTATAGGCAGGTGAGTTTTGTTTTCAGGGTTGGAGCTGAACTCTGCAGGACTGCGGCTCTCTAGGACC